CCAAGAAGGGTTGTATACAAGAATATCGTCGAAGAAAACAACCACGTACTTGCGTAATAATGGACGAAAAATATCATTCATCACAGCTTGAAAAGTCGCCGGAGCATTTGTAAGCCCAAATGGCATTACCAAATACTCGTAATGACCGTCATGGGTGCGGAAAGCAGTCTTCTCAATACTGTCTGGCGTCATCCTAATCTGGTTATACCCCGATTTCAAGTCCAATTTTGAAAAAAACTGGGCACCTTTTAACTCATCAATGAGCTCGTCCACTACCGGAATGGGAAATTTATCGGGAATAGTAGCTTTGTTAAGTGCCCGATAGTCAACACACATACGCCATGAGTGATCTTTCTTTCGTACCAATATAACGGGGCTCGAAAAGGCGCTCTTGCTTGGACGAATCATTCCCAATTTCAGTAATTCCTGTACTTCATATCGATAAGGGCGAACACAGGTTGGCTCATGCGGAATAATCAACGAAATTCGATGATCATGAGTACGTTCGGGTGTCAGACCTGTCGGTTCACGAAACACAACCGCAAAGCTGTCGAATAGTGTCTGTAAATCTCGATGTTGGGTTATGGACAACGCCTCAACCTCTGCCGATTTAGATCGCCCCCGATCCGTTGTTATAAGAGAAGGAGATGTAACCATCGAAGATAACCAAGTATGAAGCGACGATTGCGATCCTTGAGATTTTCCAAGACCTTGGAGGTGTACCTCAGCGCCCTAATATTGAAAACGCATCGACGATCGTTCCCAATTATGAATAACTTCACCCAGCGTTTTGAGCCATTCGATACCCAGCACCATATCTAAATTCCCATATCAAACACCAACGCTTCAACATCAAATTCACAAGTTCCCACCCACACTTTCAAGTTCGAACAACACTGATTAACAAAAATCTTATGGCCATCGCCCAACTGAATGTTGATACCCGAAAAGAAACTAGCAGGCAACCCCAAAGCCGTTACTAATTTCCGTGAGACGAAGTTATGGGTGGCTCCGCTGTCTACCAAAATTACCACAGGAATGCCGGAAATTGCCCCTTCAATTTTCAAGGTTGTCCCACCGGTCGACGAATTAGACGAAACTTCTAAAAATTCCAACGYGGAACATAACCCGACARGAACATCGGCTTCAYCRTGACCCACCTGATCATCGATCGTATCCAGCACCTGAATTTCACCATCATCGCCYAYTRAYTCATCCTCACCCAACAAAAGTACCCGCARCTTTCCTTYCGGACATKTATGAGTTGGACCGAATTGTTGTCCACAACGGAAACATAACCCCTTCTTTCGCCTCTCCTCCCATTCTGTGCGAGTAAGTGATCGGACCCCCCGATTGCGATTAAGGAGCTGACCATTGTTGAGTGAAGATGCTCCGGGAACACGTGAACCGGAATTAACCGACCTGAATCCGGCCGGTGAAGCGTGTTCTTATGGCCATTAGAGGAAACATTGGGCCCTTTAAACTCACAGTGGCCCAACGAAGTGGGTCGAGTATCATAAGAGTACCCGGTATTTACTCCACCCCCACCTTGGTAACGAAATCGAGATAACGCCATGTTGTCGGGCGAGATCATCGCCTCTACATCCTTGGCTAAATACATAGCATCAAGGCGGGATTGAGGACGATGTAGACGTACCCATCGTTTAACCTCATCCCGTAGGCCCGCAACAAAATAACCCATAGATTGAGATTCCAGCAAACAGGGAACCAAAGATAACAAGTACTCAAAATCATCTATGTAATCATGAATAGAGGATACCTGTTTAATCGTTGTGAGCTGCTCATATGGGTTCTGAATTTCGAGGCCACTAAAACGCAGTAACAGCTCCCGGGTGAACTGTTCCCACGTGATCGAATCATAAATCTGACTAACAATTGTGAACCAGTGTTGAGCGACGCCTTCCATACTTAACTGCGCCAAATGAATGCGAAGATGAAGAGGCGTACCATGAATATCAAAATACAATTCCGCCTTCTTAATCCACCCCTGTGGATCAAAACCATGAAATTCCGGCAACTTGATTTTTTTTGCGGCCCAAGGAAATCCTTGTGGAGATCCCGATTGTGGGCCGATAAGTGCAGGACTCCCACCCGACGCCATCGTAAATCCTCCTGTTGAAAAACCCAAATTGGAGATTCCCCTGCTCTGAGTCACCAGGACATCACCCACCAACGATGTCGGAATGAGGGGAGAGCCACCGGACACCATCGACGGTCCACCAACATCCGAAGTAGTCTGCTTACGTTGTTGTTTGACCCAGGACATGACGATTTTGCGAAATTCCTCCTCCGCACGATCGCCCTCCAGCTAGTTGGACAGATGAGTTCGTTGGTGGGTTCCAATAATCTACGAAATGATCGACTCAAATAGATAAACCTTAATTACGGTTTTGATTTCCAGAACATCCGACTGAAGTTTCTAGAGTTGTTCCTCATGTTGATCGAGACAGGTTTGTTGAGCTCTGGTTTCCATGGACATACAGCAGGTCCGGGACCAGTGATGAAGAACAATTATCAGATTAATAAGAAAATTAGAAGACAGAGTTGAGAAGGGGTAAGTCGGCTGATTTTAATTGAATGCAAAAGCTGAAAACAAACAGGGAATCCAGAGAAAACTTCCCTCTCTCTAAGCCTATGCAAAGAGCCAATTACATTTTAGGAAAAATAACAGAATGACTACTCCTTCCAGCCCCCTCCTTATTTAAGCACCACTCCTCCAACAAACATTCTTAGCCACTTTCCTTTTCTACCCTTTTGGACCTTCTAGAATATACCTTTAAAATATTTGGTTTATGTGGGCTTAGGTCCATAACAATTGGATCCGTAACACCCGAAAACCTCCCTTCTCTTATGTTCCCTTCTAAATTTTCTACTTACTTGGCCCCACATACTTTGCATCTTAGTTCAACTAATCACCCTATTCATCCTATATTATAATTGCTAATTGCATCACACCGCTCAAACTAACAAGTGATACCATTATCACCTCAACTCGTACCATGGGATTTAAACCGTTCACAAATTTACTTAAAAACTTATTTCGATGCATTGTCCCAAAGTGCCGCCAACGATAAAAATCGTCTTTTGTATTACTCCACATCCTCGTCCTACTTAAATGCCAAAAAGTTGCTTGTGTAAGGATCCCTGCATGGTCGATTGAAACTATCTCAACATCATTGTGTTAAGTTTTTCCTACCTCATAACAGAACAAAGTATATGTTCCTAATGAACCACCACAAGACAAAGTCTTCAAAAGAGATCTTTGCCACTTCTATCTACTCCTCATTTGTGAGTTAATGTAGGGTAAAATGCCTTTATGCACTTGAAATCCAACCATCAGAGTTATTATCATCAAAAATTTGGTATCTCCGTCTTTTTGTTCTTCAATGCAAACAATCTCCATTTTCCCCTAGTTCCAGCGTGGTTCCCCAATGATCTCCTGCCCGTCAACGGCACCTCTTCCTCCTCAAGACGTCATGGCATCGTTGATTTTGTTGCTGCCTCTTTGTGCATCTGATTAATAATTCAAGCTTACGAATTACCAATGGTACATCATGTTTCAGTGAACTAACCTTGGCCTGCTCAGAACCCATTCTCCCTTCTCTTTCATTGATTCTTAAAGCCACACTCCTCAATCACCCATGAACGTTGCTTTAATGCCAATTGATGCACACCAATTGAATTAAATGAGTAATTTCTATTAGAATCGTATGATTTATAGAAGGTTCCAGTAATTCGAAGTAATACCAAAATCATGTCTACCACTATATCCCTCACCTCTATTTATACTACCCCAAACATTGACTTATTCCCCTAACCAACTACACCCACCCCACTACACCACTACGGCGTATTACAACTAACCAACTGTCCACAGCCTACCTAGATTGACCAGTTGACCTCCAGCCATACCATGGTATAACAATAACTTGTTATACACTGAGGGTCATATTGTCAAAATAAATGGTTGGGGTTAGTAGTCAATTTGTCAAAAGGGGTAGGTTGTGGTACGTGAGTACAAGTGTTTATGCAGTAGTATAAGTAGGTGAAGCAAGGATAGAAAGTCAGTTAGCAGTCTTACATCAATATAAATAAGGGGTCGAAGGAGTTCAGGACTATCGACCAGTTTACAAAACTGGTCGGCTACTTCAAGAACTCAAATTTCTTCAAATTTGTCCAAAACTTGATAATCTTTTAAAGTTATGATCACAATGTGATTAGAAACACTTATAATGAAATAATTAACATAGAAACTGAATCAAATCAACCTAATTTGATCAAAAACCATCAAGAACTTCAAGAACAGTTTGTGTTCTTCAAAGGCTAAAAAGTTTTCATATTTGATTAAATTGACCAATCAAAACATGAAATTGATAGAAAAGATGAGTTAAGATTGAATAAATGATGAAAAATGAATCAAATGAGCAACAAATTTGTTCAAAACAACCTAAACTCATAGAGATATTGTTGTATTATTGGCTTCTATCATTCAAATTCACCTTTGGAAGCGTTGAAGAAACTGATTGTTCATTGATTATAGTACCAATTTTGCATCAAAATTCCAATTTGCATTCTGCTTGTTTTCATTTTTGCATAAAAGTCTCTATTGACTTCTTGATCTTTACATGCAACTGGAGACATTCATGAATGGACAAGAGGAGGGGAGATTAAAGCATGCAAAATTTTACTGGCCTAACACCATATTCTCTTTTAGACATTTGGTTTTAACAAAAATCATTAGAAGGGCCACTATATTGGGTACACATGACCAAAAAAGTCCACAAGACACATGAATATAAAATCAAGTATAATGCCTCTAGATGCAATTAGAACAACAGCCCAAAGGAGTACTATGCTCCATCAACTAGCATGTGGTTGTGATATTGTCACATGTTAACAGCTTTCAGTTCATTTCAAGTGCCCCAAGATGCATCATATGCTAAAAGGGAGTCTCAATAAATTTGTGATAAGAAACTCACATTGTAAATAGCGTGTTTTGGAATGGAAGCTCTACTTTGAACACGATAAGCTTTTGTAGTCAGCGCCAATACTTGCATGGCACTAATAGCAGCCAAACTGTTTTCTTGTTGCAAATATAGCTGAGCCACCTGCCTGGAAAAAAAGGCAGCTTTCCTATGGTAGCCAAGAGTTCCATATAGACGAGCTATCTCGATGTATAATATTAATCTATCACTTGCATCAATCAAAGATTTTGCTCCATCTGCAGCAGAAGTCAAAAGCTCCACTACCTCCTTAGCCAGCTCTCGTCTGTCAATTACATGAAGATGACATATGAAACCTATAACTAAGAACAATGCTCATACAGATTTAACTTCTTACGGATATATTATATACACAAGATGAAAAATCCCAATGGCTTGACAAAGACTGCTGATACCTCATTAGATTCAAAGAACACTAATAAACACAAAAAGAATCTCGGTAGATATACAAACAAGTGCATGGAAATCTGAATTTAGGAGAGATAATATAAGGAGAAACAAAAATTAGATACCAAAGACTAAAGAAATAATGAAGGAAAAAGCGCCAAAAAGTGGATATACATTTTATATTTCCTGCAAAAAAGAGCAGTCTTCACAGTTGCATAAGTCATATCCCAACAGGTACGACAATAACAAATCCTCCAAGAACAAATATCAAGTATCAAATCTTAGAAAACAAGAACATATATTACGCCACATATATCACATCATACCAAAGCCCACCAGATCACAAGCCCAAGCCTTACATTGTATCTATTATAAGTTGAATAATGCAGAATTCAAGATCGTTCACCACTGTCAGCTATGTTTCGGCTAAAAGATCTTTATAGTTTTAATAAAAAGAAGGCACTCTATACCAACACAAAGATTCAGACTTCACAGTCGACTTCTTTCCAACCAATTATCTCCGAAGGAGTAACTCTCAAGTTCAAATTTAGTTGGGCAGATTGAACCTTATTTCAATGATTTAGATTCAGCAGTATTACAAGTAAAAATCTTTTGGTTTATGACAAAAAAATGAGCATTAGAACTATTCGCAATCTAACATGTAGATACAAGTACTCCAGTCAAACAAAATTGAAGTACCGATCATCCAAAGGCCTCGTCCTTGATATGTGTGTTCTAGTGTCCTCATGTCAAACATATATGTGTATCCCTTAATAAATTTGATGTGTTCGGTCAACCCTTACCCTCTCGTATTTTCAAATAGAATTAGCATCCCCGCAGGTCAAATTTGAGATGGCCGATGCCATATTGCCAGTATGTATTATTTTTATTATTTATTTTTCAGAAGACATGCACCTATAAATATATTACGTCTACTAGCCCTGCTAGATGACAGGATTGTTATCATCCACTACTATTCCTGATCAATAAATGCAAACCTACTTCTCTCCGGATAAACTTAAAGAAATGGCAATTAATTTTCAACATTTCTGCTGAGAAGTTTTACTGGCTCCATTAATAATATGAACTCGTTAATAACGATGAATAATATTAACAGAGTAGTACATATTTCATGCTATGGTCACAGATAAGAAATGTGTTTTTTTTCTACATAAAGGACTAATTAGATCGCTTAACACAAATGGACATCATGAACTAGGTATGAAATAAGGCATGGTTATAAGCCTAATTCCAAGTGAAAAATGAACACTGATGAACATCAGAGAAGTTCATCATAGATGAGGTGAAACGACTTCTGAAAACCACATGTCTTTAAAATTAAGAATGATGCCAAGTACAAAAAGATGGTAAAAGAGGAAGATTCTACAATAAGTAAAATGAAAAGCATTCTTTTTGTTTTAACAAGATATAACTATGATATTATTGGAGCTAGCTTAGTTGACAAATTTGTTCGTTCTAGTGCAGTATAGAAGTTGGATTCAATATTGTAGAAAAAGAAAGACATGGGTGGTATTTGCTTTGTCATCATTGTCTCCTGAATCTCTTTGATCCTCCGCCTCTAGTCTTGTTTCCACTGTCACTGTCCTCATTATGAGTGAGATAATAGGTCATACATTCTATGAAAGCCCCATGATGTTCATCCAAGACAGTCTTTTGCTTAATGCTATATGAGTCGATAACAAGATCAAAATTACACACGATAGCCGCTACAAAATTTTCAGTTGTAGTTATGTGTTAGCTATTGGCATATTATAGTTTTCCATGCAATGAACTTGATGCCATGCTGAATTCCCAAATGGTTGCAGTTCCAAACTTCATTTCGTGGCATATTTACATAATACTTTATGGAACTCTGGTCTGGTGAAATAGTCCTTTGATAATTATTTGGGTTCTTAATATGGTTAGACAACGAAGTTTGTTGAATGGGTGATTACCAATTAGCAAGAGGAGAGAAAACAGACTAATTCATATTCACAGGATAAACTAAATCATTTAATCATTTATTATTCAATGCCTTCTGAACTTCAAAGTATTGTTATACCCTTAAAAGAAACTGATTTTTTATTTCACTTTGAAGTAGCATGTTTGTACTGCAAGTAGTTTTGGAAAACAAGTTTCATTGTTCTTATGGGGATTCAGAAGTCCTAATAAAGCTGAAAAGGCAACTTTTATAGGATGAAGGAATGTGGTAGACTTCAGAGTATAAAGACATATTCAAGAAGGAAAGAGAGGAGGGCAGATTAATAAGATAAAGATAAAACAAGTTTTGGATAAGTCATAAGTCCTCAAGTTTACAGATAACTATCTTATGTTTATTTTAATTGTTTTATTTGTTTAGGATCCCTTTTATTCTAGGAGTCTTTTTTATTTATTAGTTTAAATACCTTCATTGTTTACCTTTTTGGAGGGGAGATCAATTTATTATAATTCAATTCTCTACAAATTGAATAAGGAGAGACTGCAACCTCTCGAAAGCTGTAAGGTTTTAATACTCTAATCTTGGCAACCTTTTATCAACTCTTATCAGAATGACAAGTTGGGTTGTCTAAACGTAACATGCACATAAGATGAGTGTAGCAAAAATGTGACATCAAGGGTAAAATTGAATTATGTGACTAGATATGATGATACAAGAGAGAATGTTGAGATTGCAACTGTTCAAGAAAAAGCGTACTAAGAGGAGATTGTTTGGAGAGGTCGATAGGCTAAGAATGACACAGATGGAAGTAGTGAAGAGAGAGATACAAGTGCGTGGAATTAACCAAAGAATATGGGTTTAGATAGGGTTGTGCACAATGATGATACTCATGTCTCAAAACACTAGGGAATTCACCTCTTCATAAATTCTATTGGGTTTCACTTTTTAGCCTACTCCAACTAGTTACGAATAAAAAGGTTTTATGATGTTGATCACTTTAACGTCACACTTTACATAAGGGAAAAACGCATCAAAATAGAACCAACTTTGAGCTAATTCCTATTTTGGGGAACTAACTTTCAAAATTATCATCTTTGTTCAATATTTAATATTATGTTATTGTTTTTGAAAGTTCATGATATACTCTTCTACAAGGTGGTGATTTGTGGTGTATGGGGTGGTCAACTCATTTAAGGTTATATCCCTAAATGACACGTTGGGAGGAACAGTTGGAAATGAACAAAGAAGATAAATAATAAATAAATTATAAATTAAAAAATTAAAAGCTACCTTATTGCTACATCAGTTCTATCTCATTGCCACATCGTACTCAAAGGACCAAATGTGTAATTTACTCTGATTTTAAAATAAGACATGAAATCTTAGTTGGCAATTTACTTGAACCATGTCATTCATTAGTAGGTAATCCGGGTAATTGAGGCCCTTAAATATATTAAAAGTTTATTCTAAACCCTAAAATGATAATTTTAAAAGTTTGGTTCCTCAAAATAGGAACCAATCCAAAGTTGGTTCCATTCTAAATAAGTTGTTGGGCCGTCTATACGTAACATGCACATAAGATGAGTGCAGCAAAAATTTGCCATCGAGGTAAAATTGAATTATGCGACGTGATATGATGATACAAGAGAGAATGTTGAGATGGCACCTATTCAAGAAAAAATGTGCTAAGAGGAGATTGTTTGGAGAGGTCGAGGTAGGCTAAAATTGACACAGATGGAAGTAGTGGAGAGAGAAATAAGTGAGTGGAATTTACCAAAGAATATGGATTTAGATAGGGTTGTGCACAATGATGCTACTCATGTCTCAAAACACTAGGGAATTTCACCTCTTCATAAGTTTTATTGGGTTTCACTTGTTAGCCGACTCCAACTAGTTAGGATAAAAAGGTTTCCTGATGTTGATCACTTTGAAGTCACACTTTACCTAATGAACAAGTGTGCCTTTTAATGAAGAATCCATCTTATACCTAAAATGAATACAATAACTTTACATTCTTAAACTAATCTGAGTTTGATGTCCCATAGAATAAAGACAATACATAGAACATACCAGAGCAGTCACAGAACCTACTACAAACATATTAACAAACAAGACTTGAAATGGTACCTGCATAGGAATCTTGCCAATTTCAAAGTAGCTTCCAGTTCAAAACTGAGGGGTGAAACCCTGCACAAAGTAAATGAACAGAATTAAATAATAGTTTTATTCATGAAAATCTCAATCTGGATGTAATAACGTAGTCCTGATATAAGGATATGTATTTAACTCTCAAAAAGTGTAAGTGACAACCTCCATTAGCATTTAGCACCCAAAAAGGTGATTCGTGTTAGCATAACAATGTAAGGATCTACCACAGAGATTTAGCCTACCAAACCCTGAATAACACCCACCCACCTCTTGCAACATTCAACTGCCATTCCGACCAGCAGTACCACACCACCACCTCCATCTTCCTACTAAGAACCAATATCATTTCAATAATACATGCGTATAAGATTAAAGATGGATCTAGAGCAATCAGTGTGACACAAATGATGAAGTTGTCGATGGTGGCATTGATTGGGGCAATTTAGATATTGATGGGAGGTGAATTTTCAATAAGGATGATAGAATTATGAGATGGTCCTTGAGTAATAAGTTCAAAGTTACACATTACATCAATGTGTACCTTTAGGCACCACTAAAACTTATTAAGTTTATGCAGATAAAGCAACCATATATGTTGTAAGACTTACTATCATATGTTTGACTTAAGGTATCATAGTATATCGTCATATGAGATGGCAGTAGGGAAGAATTAAACAATTGTCTTGCTATTGTGTGTCATATATAAAGAGGCAGCGTCAAGAATACTCCCTCAATCCCATAAGCAGTGAAGGACTTCGAACTATGCCCACTTATTTGTAGTAGTTAAGCACTAGCCAAACATTGATTTACAGCAAATTACATAAACTAAAGGGTCACTTTGCAATGATGACTATGAAGATGAATAGGTCAGTTAAGTTCAAATGTTCCAAAAAGATAAATATTGTATCAAGTACAAGACATTCTACAAATAGACAATGTTCTATTTGTGTGACAGAGTGAGTGTTATTACATGTGCATATACTATATATTAAAGATGTTACCCGTGTGGATAATGTGTAACGATCTACCTCTGAGCGTTGTCTTGTATAAATGACTTCCTGTAATGCAAGATGACACTGTTGTAACGATACTTGACCTCCTCCTCTATAATTGGATCCCTCTGAACTGCTTTATCCATCTTATAGCACATAAACACAACAAAAAAATGTTACAAGATATCTGGATGGGCAAAGATCATGTAAGCAATCGACCATTGCAAAGGTTATAACACAGCATCTGGTCAGGACCCAATAAAAAACACACAGAATCTTGCACCAGATTCATTTATATATAACATGATAGCAAAAGCCAATCCCATGCCTTTGAACACGCATTCACTGGCTACAAACAGGTTTTGCTTCTTTACTTCTAGGAGATACCTTTTACTCTCAAACCAGATTAACTATCGCCCTACCAAATGGTTCAAATTCACCCCCATTCTCCACTAAGTAGTTCATCACACACGTCCATGATATTTTCAAATAATTATTGCATAAAACTTTGTATAGTCTGTATCTATCTTCTTCTTATTTTAACGAACATCTTTTCTCTTAGAATAGCTTCTATAAATTTCTAATTTAGAAATATAAAATAATTAATAAAATCTAAAGTGAAAGTGTTCCTATTTAAAAGGAAAGAAAATACCGAACATCCTTGGTTTTGCATTGTATATATGAAGTTTTATACCCATGCGATCAAGCGGAATGTAAAACTTTATGGTAAACTGAGAATGGTAAATTAATGCAATTCCTCATTAAAAAGAAGTCCAAAAAATATGTTTGAACACAAATGGCTAATATGCTAGATAATTTTGATTTTACTTTACCTTTTCTTATTTTTTTGAAAACACAGGTCTCCACATAGAAATCTACTATGTGAAAAGTATTACAATCACACAAGCTAATCTCTCAGGCCACCCCCAATTACCGCTGCGCTCTCCAAAGATTCAACTCACACTTCTACGCTCTATAACAAGAGAAGACAATAGAAAGAATCAAATAATTAAAGTGCATTTTATTGGGGATTTGTAACCAAAGCCTTAAACTTCAGACATGGGGCCCACTCCACCTTTTGTTGCTCCACCTATGTGGGGCATGCTTCAAACCACAACTCTTAAATCTTAATGCATTAACCATTTGTACTTGATGCTTCATAGAAGTTGTACCCTTGATATTTAAGGCTTTTACCTAAATGCTTTATAATAATATAGTGTGTGTGCATATATAGCAACTTGAACTTGACTACTGCTAAGAGATTTGATAAGGATGTTATTAACCTAAAAAGGGCAGCCATTGGATTTGCAACATCATACGTTCTTGTAACTTGGCTCTGAAAAAAGCATGAAATTAGGCAAATAAAAAAAATATCCTCTTCTCAGACATATATAATTAAATCTACCCAGCCGGGCCTTTTTTTCCAATAAATTCCCGGAATTTGGGGCATCATGCATAAAATTAAGACTAAAATTATCATAGTTTCGGCATACCATGACAGAACTATAGAATCGGTACCTTACAATTATATTTCATCGGGTATTATGAAAATTTAATATCTGGAATTGCCGAAGATAGTTTTAGAGAAATTGTTTCAAAGTTCAAACAAATTTTTCCTGAGTATTACTCCTTCCGTCCCAAGTAAACACCTTTCCATTCTACCCTTAATTATGAGATGGAGAAAATTTCTCCCTCTGTAATTAAGGGTGAAATTCTCCTTTTGTTAATTGAGAAGTGTAATAATTACACATTTCTAACATTTTGAGCCTTTTTCATTGTGGACATTTATTTTCGGCCGGAGGGATTATGTTTTAATGAGGTTTAGACTTCCTAAGGGTGTGGATACATGTCTGACGCCATATCCAAATCAATGTTGTTTCCATGCATAGTTTCTTCTTGTAGATCTATGCATGCCATCTTTTCCTTATTCCAAACTGATAAGAGGTTAATACACAAAATTCCCTTTAACGCTACCATATGTTTTTGTTGACTGCATTACAACAAGAAGTAACACCTGGCTTCCAGATTACATAGAGAAAACAATAAGTCACATCATGAGCAAGCATGCAAACTCAGACAAGCACACTCAGAATGGAGGATAGGTTAACAGATGCTTATTTGCAAACATAAAAGAAATAGGCCAAGAGAAAATTGCTGCTGAAGTAACAGCATGAATATTAAACATGTCTGGATACCAAATATTAACGCATGAATATGATATATTTTGAATCTTTAACCATTAGTATGCTTACCAGCAAGGCGCAAACGCCACCTTCCAATGCGCCAGCATACCAAAAGTAATCCCCAGTCAGCCTGGCAAGTTCTAAAGCAGTAGAATAATGGGCATTGGCATCAACAGGTGATCCAGCTAGTAAACAATAATCTCCGATTGTTTTCTGCGCTCGGCCAAGTCTCCTCTTTTTTGCTTTGATCACCTGAAACAGTTGATCAAGTTGGTTAAGTTGGCATTCTTAAAGCATGAAGTTGCAATTTAATGTTTGGTAGCTTTGGGAAGGAGGAAAAAGTGTAGCAATTATTCAATCATCAGGACACCTAAAACATAAACCTCCTCTGAGCTGAGACTGGCTTGAGAATCTAAAGGCGTCTTTAGAATGGTTCCACCAGATTCTGCTTGAAGAACCCACTTCTCAAATTCCATTAGAAGTGAAGCAGCAATATCTTGCATCATTGTTTGCAAGTGAATTTCCTGAGTCCGCTGGTCAGCAGGAGGAAACAAAACCAATTTATTTCCTTTGTTATTCCCATCTGCTAGCTGCAATAGAAGATACAAAAACACAGGTGAGCCATTATTACTAAGATCATTTCTAGGACTAAGATCATATAAGAAATCAGTCAAACATTTGGTATTTGAGTATCTCTTGAGTATGAAAACAGATCATAGGTCTGGCTCCAGAAGTTATCTGCCTAGTTCTTTTAACTCTGTTCTCTCTTCCAGTGATCAAATATCCAGACGAATATTGATGAGTATTTGAGACTCAGGGTCCACTTAACAAGTTAAAAGCACTACATGCCAACGCTCCATTATGAAAGAGGGGAAAGAATTTTGCAATATCATTGCTACAGCCTACAAATGGTTAAGTGGCACCAGCACCCATACTGGTCTAATGGTCTTAGAAAATGAGGTTATGGCTTTTGCAACTATAATAACAATTCCTACGTTAACATGTCCCCAATTGGTTAGCCAAACTATGACAGCATCAACCATTGATCTGCCAGCATTTAGTGATAGGAAAAATACACATTAAGATAAGAAAAGGATTGTAACTATGAATATTTAAGCATAGGTGTCATGCTGCAAGTGCAACAAATATTGCAAGCCGCCTACACTTCTACAAAGGAAGAAGAAACAGTAACAAAAGGAAATGCACGAGTTCGAAGTTGCACAAAGAAGCTAATGATTAAACCCTGTTCAGTAGCAGAAGACAGACAATGAAGGACAAGGACTACAGTTCATAACCAAAAGAACAATAATCTTCGCTTCTACAAAAATAGAGTGCCCGTGATCGACTCTCATGGACTGCAACACGACATCTTTAAGCTATGCCCTTCCCCTGATACTACAATGTAAATTGAATATTCAAAATAAATAAATCAACATCTAAAAAATTTGGGAAGACAACCTGTGTATCTCCAGGGGAAAAGGCAAAACACCGTTGAACAAGAGAAGAAGAGTATCCCTTACACGCCGCAGCAAATTGCTCAACGACACTATCGAGATCAGGCGAAGACGGACAATGACAGATTCCGATAACGCCATGAATTTTCCTGTTCGATTGGAAATCCTCCCATGGACTCGGCGGCGATCCACCTACAATGAACTTGAACTTTAGGCTACCGGATTCCCACGGTTGTTGAGAAAATGGAGATTTTTGGTGTTCAGTATAGAAAGAAGTGATAGTTGAGAGTTCGATCTTGTGGTGGCGTCCGAGCATCCCGGCGTATTTGCGGAAAAGGTGTAGGTGGATTGTTCCGATCGGGAGGACGGCGATCCGGATAATGGAGCTTGTGTCGATGCTGACGTCAGGCTCCATCGTTGCGGTTGCCGGGAAGAGGACGGCGGAGAAAGCCGATAGTAGAAGGCGGAGAAGCGCGGAGGGGTAGTTGACACAGTCGAGAGTGTTGTTTTTCACTTCAACATTGGATCGGTTGCAGCGAAGAAGAAATGGGAATCAAACCCTTTCTTTACAAAATGGTCCCTGATGTTTTAACAAACTCCGATTTCAGTCCTTATACTTTTTCAAAATCCAGTCTTTAGCTTGTTGATTACAAAAATTAAGAGTAAGGTGTCGTTTGTTTTTTAAAAGGTGCTGAAGTCTGAATTCACTTTTGATTTTTAAGAGGTTGTGCTGAAGTCTGAAATCTGAATCAGTCAGACTGTTTGTTTTTTGCGTCTGAAATATGAAGTTTGAAGATGAGAGATCGAGAGTTGATATGGATCGACAGTTGACAAAGTTGAGAGATGAGAGATCGAGACAGAAGAGTTGATCTAGAGAAATCGAGCGCAAAGAGATCAGAGTAGGTAGGCGACGATTTGAAATCAGAGGTAATAAGAGGTTTTGGCAACCACTTAAATTTTCAGACCTAATAAGAGCTTTTAAGCTCTTAATTGAAAAAAACACACTAAATCCTCTTATGTCTGACCGATTCAGACTTAAGAGAACATTAAGGGGCTGTTTACTTGTGACTTAATGAGCTTACCGGATAAACCGGCTTATTCGCACAGCCATTTTAGGCTGTTTACTTCGAGCTTATTCGCCCAGACAGGGGCTTAATCTCACAGCCCAATATCACCACTTGTCCCCATTAAGCAACAAAAAAGACCTGGCTACCCTTGTAAAGCCCACGTTCTCGACAGGTTTGCTCTTCTCCAACCCTAATCGGCGATTTTGCTACTGATTTTGCTTCTCGATTTCCAATCTTCTCTTCTCCAAAGGTAAACTCTTCTCCTTATCTATAGATTATGTTCGATTTTGATGCTCTTATGTTCGATTCGCTCGATTTTGATGCTTCCAATTTTGCTGCTTGATTCCTGATTTTGATGCTTCCGATTTTGCTGCTCGATTTTGTATGCTTTGTTTGCTTTAGTACAGTTTCCGATTTTGATGCTTCCGATTTTGCTGCTCGAT